AGAAAAGGATGAAAAATGGCTTTAAAACCAATTATAATTCTAGAATCTAGTGCATCAGTTATTTATTTGAAATGCAAACACACTACAGACATTTATTTACTACCGTCCTTTTTATTCTGACAGATTGCCTCCATTCGCTTTGCTCCATGGGACCAATGACATTGTGCTTCCTGCTGAATCTACCATGAGATTCTCTGAGCTTCTCACTTCACGCTCTGTTAAGTTGTCATTGAATCTGCTTCCCAGAGCGAGCCACACTGATATCCCCGTTGACCTCATGGTGTCAAACAGACGCCTCTACCATCCAATCTACGGATACATCAAAGAAGAGTTCAGAAAACTTCTGGGTACTTGCACATCATTAGAAAAACATTCAAGAATCTGTAATACATACTGAATGATCCATGCATTTACGTTTTAGAGACTTGTTCTTATACCTCAAATGAACCATTTAACTTTGAGTTTGATTTAACACTTTCTGAGTTAATAACACTGTCATTATATTTTAACAATACTGTGATTGTGTGGGAGAGTTGTTCTCTACGCTGCTTTCAAATAAATAATCACAAAGTAAAATGAGTTGTGGAGAAATGTGCGCTATTAAGAATTGCACTGATACACAGTATTAAAAGTTGAATACAGTTAACAAATATGTAGCTGTTATTTAATTATCAAATTTGAGAATTTTTAAGTGTTTTATTTGATACTCTAAAAGTATGTGTTTAATATATTGTAACAGCACATTAATAACCCAAGTTTTATTGACAAATGAAGTACAGTCATCATTTTTACACCTACTTGAAATTATTCTGCCTAATATTCCAAAATTCAATGTTGTTACATCTTGTGATAGTGTTAAAATCTAACCCGCCACTCTTTTTGATATACATGCATTTAAAGAGAGCAAAATATTCTGGGAAGTCTTGAATGATTAGCAATTTTTGAGCCAGTATAACTTTGAAATACTTAAATACCGTCAGATTTTCACTGCAGAACAATAGTAACCATGTTCTGTAAAACTTAATTGCTTTAAAATGTTCGAATTTTGAGCATTATTTACAAAAAATGTGTGTCAAATGTTTGTACTGCAAGTAAAATAGAATAAAACTTTGCTCTGTATCAACTGTGCAGGAAATCAAAATAGTAAGACAAGGGGAATAAATACAAAACAAGGAGAAGGAGTTGGTTGGTGTATGGAGTCTGTGAGTGACCTGAGGGATGAGGCCACTCAGATCATGAATCAGACCATAGCTCAGGTGGGTGGGTGGGGGTGGAGGTGTGGGACTTGATTCACCTGAGGTATGAAATCGTTACACATCATATTCACTGTCTGGCCTTTGACAAGATAAACTGATCACTTTCTTGTGTTTGCAAAAAAACTACACAAAAAACCACCTAAAGAAATAAAAGCTGTTGTGAGAAACTCCTGCCAAATCTCAATGTCCTATAGTTTCAGCTGGTTTGGGAATATCAGATGACCTCAGCAGCTGGCTTGATTAATCCCTTGTTGGAGGGAGTTAAGTAATGCCAGTACTGTGCCAAACAAGCTAAAAGGGCAATTAAAAAACAAAAAGCACCTTTTGAGAAAGACTTTGCCTTCTTCAAAATAATAATAATAATAATAATAATAATAATAATAATAATAATAATTGCTGAATCTGAACCACCAGAGGCAGCAAGACTGTTTTCAGATTGTGTGAATGGAGGTAAGTTTTGGGCTAGTAGAGCTTAGCTCACAAAGATGGCTTCATCTGAAGTGTAATCTGAAAAAAACAAAAACTATCCAGGTTACATAGTATATTCCTGGTAGATATGAATAAAACTATACCATATCAAATTTCTTGCCTCAAGGTGCTTTATATTGTAAGGTAGACCCTACAATAATAGATACAGAGAAAAACCCAACAATCAAATGACCCCCTATGAGCAAGCACTTTGGCAACAGTGGGAAGGAAAACCTCCCTTTCAACAGGAAGGAACCTCCAGCAGAACCAGGCTCAGCGAGGAGGGGCCATCTGCTGCGACATGCTGTGGACGAGAGCCAGAAATTAACAACAAGTATAACTTAATGCAGAGAGGTCTATTCATGTTGAGTGAGAAAGGTGACTGAAAAGGAACTACTCAATGCGTCATGGAAATCCCCCAGCAGTCTACACCTATTGCAGCATAACTAAGGGAGGATTCAGGGTCACCTGATCCAGCTCTAACTATATGCTTTAGCATAAGGAAATCTTAAAAGTAGAGATAGTGTCTGTCTGCTGAATCCAAACTGGAAGCTGGTTCCATAGAAGAGGGGCCTGAATTCTCAATCAGTTGTGGTAATGGACTACATATAGTTCTACTATCATAATATCAGAATAATAATTATAAATCCTATTTCAGTTCAAATAGATCCCCCCAGGTTCCTGTATTTGGCTTCCTGTTATGTCATTCTGCTAATAATAAAAGACCAATAATTTTAATGGACTTAATGACAAAACAAAAGCTAATGTATTCAGCTTACACCCACACAGAATCAGGAATGAATGTCAGGTGTTAATATGTTTATATCACTCTACATGACATAATTCAATTGATGATAGTGTTAAACTGTAAGTGACAAATGCTGTGAATAGTTACCACAGCATTCAGAATGGGCTGACTGTGCGCTCAGTGCAGCTGAATGGCTCTCATTCACTAAGTGGCTTCATTTCCACTGCAGCTTTACAAAAA